TGCAGGGAAGGTGAAGGAACACCAGCTGATGCCTGTTGGGTTCTATAAGAGTATAAGACATGTCATGGTTCTTTTCTTTTTTTAACTTTTATTCACCACAACGTGCATACACACACTCACACAATAAAAAAAAAGAGATACAAACAAGAGGGGGACTGTGGTACGATACAGTTTTGCAAGCAGATTTAGACAAAAGCAAACAAACAAACAAACAAAACAAAAGGAAAAGGGTCAGTAAATAAAAATGAATGAATTAGAAAGAGGGACAAAAATAAGTAAATGAGCAAACAGGACAAAGAAAAACATGGAGGACAGTATAGTAACAAAATGATGTAAAATAAAACTGGTGGGATAGGTTGTACACATGGTGACGGTTTTTGGTGTTATTTGTTTGTTTTTTGTTTTTGTTTTTCACTTTGTACAGGTGCTAACATGACGATTGCCAAATACATGGTTCATGGTTCTGATACTGTAGCTGAACAGACTCCTCAACTCTACCTGTATATGCAGGTTTTTTATTGTCTTTAAATCAGTGTATATATATATATACTGAACAGAACACTCACATCACCTGGCTCATAGCAGCAGTTTCATCACACTGCAGTCTCTAATAAGGCTTACACATTTACAGAACTCTCCTGGAAAACTCAGAATGAGTTATTTCCTGGAGGAGCTGTATGTGTGAATGCAAACAGCCACATTCTTCACTCTGACTTCACTCTGAGTTTCTCCTGCCAGACCCCTCCAGTCTGACAGGGACAGTCTCCAGCTGTGAGGAGCATCATGTGAACAGCCAGGAGACGAGAATCTCCTGAAATGATCTAGATATTTTCAGGAGTGCATTTGTAAAAAAACGACTTAATACTGCAGTAATCTCAATGAACCTTCTTAAGAGGAATCAGCGGCTAACACTGCGTTGCTTTCTTTAATGTTTCCCCGGTGCAGAGAAAAGCTCCCATGACGACGCCCATTTACTGACCCAACACCAGCAGCATCAATCAGCCTCATTATCCTGACCGCTGTGCGCCTCCTGAAGGACAAATAACATCTAACTGCTGGTGGAGGAAACTCAGCCTCTGAAGCCGTTTAATACTCATCTGTTCCAACACTAACACTCCCAGCACTGACTTCAGGGCCCAAAAGATGCAAGACTAAAAATACTCACACCGAGGGAACACCCTCACAGAAAGCAGAAAAAGGAGACGGCCTGAATCAAACAGTGTCTTTACATGCTTTACTCAGCTGATGTTTGAACGGCTCTATTCAAACGGTTTGAACATGATTTAAGGTTTGAGATGATCAGTCGTCCACAGTTTGCTTCATCGTGTGTCTTCCTGAACCCGTCATTATTCTGCACTTAGGTAAAAAGAGGGTTTTTGTCTTCCTTTCACTAATCACTGTTATTTTTGGGCAGTGCTGAGGCCCGGAGTCAGTAACTATATGCTGTTGAGAAATAGTGCCAGGATTGATTTTGTTTTGCTGAAACATTTTGTTTTCCTCAAGGCAAAGTGGACCAATACCCACAAAAAAGAAAACGACCCCTTAAATATGAAAATACATCTTATAGAAGACATACGGCCTGAAGAAATAAAGGACCACATTTTCCAAAACTTGTCTGTGTAGGACGCTAGCTCAGCTTCTAGTCTCAAGTTGTAATAAACTGTCACACGATATGTTTGTGTGTAAAAATATGTCCTGCTGTTGTTGCTGTTGCTCTGTGTCTTCAGGGTGAAACCTGTAAAAACTGTTTCTCCAGCATCATGTTCTGATGTGGTTTGTGGCTCTGAAGACTTACAGTCTACTTCTCACCTCTCTCGCTCGTACTGCAAACTATAGCTCTGGAAGAAACGTAGAAAATGCAAACTGCAGTGAGTGCAGGCGTCATGGATGAGGATGTATTTTACACACGCTGCTTGCCCTTTATACATCCTGGTGTAGGCGTCGGCAATAATACCCTCAAAAACAAATAAATAAAATAAAATAACAGAAAAACTGTAACCTCCACCATAACTCATTATTTATTAAAACTGCAATATAATAATAATGAATAATGATAACAAAGTGCAATATTGAAACAAACAGTGCAATAATCTTGATAATGTGTGTATATATTCCATCTGACTCTTATTGATATCTTACTTACATTCCTATTCTATTTGATTAATATTTTTATTATTATATTTCTACTGCTATATTGTAGATTTTGGAACAACTGTAAAGATCGAATTTCCCTCTGAGATTAATAAAGTATTTCTGATTCTGAAAAAGGCGTTCACCTGTTCAGTCTCAATAATGTAGCCGAGAAGAATCACTGGATTTAATTACAACATTAAAAAATGTAACATATTTATTTAGGTCACTGTGGATAACACTTGCTCTACATACTGAGGTCTGCTTGTTGCACATATTGATGATTGAAGCGGTCTTATTTCTGCTGAGTCAGCTTGTCATACTTTTTTTTTTTACATATAGCACCTAAAGTGGCCAGTAGGTTGCAGTATTATCTTGATTTTACATCAGGTGTCACAGGCATGCACTAGAGAAACAATGTAAGGCCATAGTCAAAACTATTTCACTTCTTCAGTTTTCTTCTTATTTTCAGGATATTTATTTGTTTTGCTGAGATTCAAAGAGATAAAACATTTGGATATCCCATCATAATAATGATTATGTATGAGATCCTCACAGGTATCTTCAGTCCAGGTCAGGTAGTAATGTGTGCTGTGGGAAGAGCAGCATCTCTGTAAACTCCTGCCTGCAGTACCCTCATTTTACACGCTAGTTACATATTTCTCCTCTAATAGTTCTCACCATCATTTCAGAATCCTTTCATCTTTATTGATATTAACAAATCAGCAAACCGCAACAGCATCGGGGAAATTCAGTAAATCATCTCTGAAGGAAATAATAATGAGTCTCTCAGGATGCATTATAGTTGGAAGAATTGTTTTTATTTGCACACCTTTTTATTCAAATATTGGTATTTCATACTACCACTTTAAAGTCCATTTCACTTTGCTGTTTCAAAGAAAGTCTGATTTTCTCCGGTCTTTAATAAAACAGGAACATCATCGTGTGTTGGATTCAAAAATATGAAGCTCAAAATATAATCTAACCAGCCTAAAATCATTTCATCCAGAAAAGTCATATTTTACATTAAAGCTTTTGTTCAAGAGCAAATCTATAAACATGCAGGTTTTTCCAGAACACATTCACATAGTCCTGAGAGTATGCAGGTGTGTGTGTGTGTGTGTGTGTGTGTGTGTGTGTGTGTGTGTGTGTGTGTGTGTGTGTTTACAACGACTGAACTCCCATTTTAAAAAAAAGAACAGATATGTTTCATGTCAGCACGGTGTTAATCGCCCGCTCAGCAGCAGTTATTTGACTCCTTCGTCTGTTTGTCTCCTCCCAGCCACAGGGGGGCGCTGTTGATCTTGGCGCTCTGGGATCTGGCCTCTTTGGCGTCCCCCTGCATCCCCCCTCCCTCGCTGGCCACACGTTTGTGTATCTCAGAAGCCATGGTGAGGAAAGCCTTCTCCACGTTGTCGGCGCTCTTAGCACTCGTCTCCAGGAAGGGGATCTTCAGGGACGAGGCCAGGTCCTGGAGGGGGACACACCCAGAGGTGGACATGCTAATTAGCATGCTAACTTGTAGCATACTGGCTGCTTATTTACTGTTATTAGACCTTAAGATACATGACCATAGTCTATAGCTCATATGTCATTAATGAAGAGTTTTCCCCTCAGTAACTTCCTAATTACTGCTTATTGATGATAAGTTAAAGGTTTTATAAATGATTTTTTGATCCAGCAGATGTCGCCCTTGAGCACCAGCATGAAACCGAAACAACTCGCGCTGCATTGTTGTGTTAGCATGCTAATGCTAGTGATCTTTATTATGCTGGTATCTTCACACTGCATGTAAATTTACCTGAAATGAGCGTGATCTAGAAACACAGTTAAGCAGTGAGTACAGTATGTTATTCTTCTTTTCTCTAGTCCCTCAATTAAACAACTTTTATACACGAGGGGAGGAGTCAGCCGGCCGTCCTGGCGATGTAAACAAAGTGAAGATAGGACTCTGAAAACTCTGAAAACATCACAGACAGTGGGACTCGGGTGTTACACCCATTGTAGACAGTCATGACTCACAGAGTTATTTTCAGAGGAGATACTTGATTTCTACATTTAAGTGTGAAAAATCACAGATAAAGACTTTAATGAGCGTGGTGAGGAATTGTTCTGTAGTATTTGGAGGTGAAAACAGGATAGGTACAGTTATGATTTCAGGCATAGGAAGAACAACAGGATGTTATTTTAATCGTTATCTTTAATGCACCATTAGGCCGATTTATGGCAAGTAGTTTTAAGTTCAACTACCCGTGTGTAGAAAAATAATAGTATCTGATTTAAAGGGGTCATATTATGCCTTTTTATGGGTTCATATATTTATATGACTGCTAGAGTACGTTCAAATGTCTTCTGTACATTTTTTTTATAAATTTACATTAGTACTGTACGTTGTATATTGCAACCACTCACCTTTTCTGCATTGTAAATCATGCCCTTGATGTGATTAAAAATTCAATGAACAATTGTAAGTATCAATGACATCATAGACTGACTTACTTTGACTACAGAAGCCCAGGTGATAATCACGTTTCTTGGATCAATATCTCGTGCAATAATGTTTCCTCCTCTGTCATTATTTCCCTCTTATTGAACATTATTTCATTTGAATCAGTATCTTCTTCTTTCATCAGGAGAATGAATCCGCTGCCTGTTCCTTTTACCAAAAACATCCAGGACTGTTTAAACACACTTACACTTCAAAACATCCACAACATCTTCAGAGGAGAACATCACAGAGAACTGCAGAAGAGTATGTTCATTATAAATAATGATTTACATCTTCAATCAAATTCATTCTAATCAAACAGTTTCACTGTTTCAGAAGAATAAAAGTAAACAAGTGAGAAAATCATTTGTTGAAAGTTCTTTATTCTCAGCTAAGGTTAAAAAAACATTTAAATGTGTAGAACTATACGTGTAAATACAAAATGAGAAGTAACATATTAACGTCCAACTACATTGTCTCATACAGGCTGTGCAGACACTTGGCAGGGGTTGGAGTGGTGATCCTGTCGTGTGTCGTCCTGAGGATTCGTCCTGAGTTTCCTGACCCGACTGGACAGTATGTTGGCTTCGGCCCGCCCCTTGACTACACCTGGACACGTGTCGAGCCACCCTCCTTCTTTTGAGAGACAGGAATTTTCTGCAGCTCCTCCATGAATGGTTCTGGTTCCTGAAACATCTCCTCCAACACCAGTGCCATCGAGTCCCCAACATATCCTGGAAAAAAGTAATTCAAGAACAAAAATCTATTTCATAATGTTTGGTTATTGCTCATTTTTCACACTCATCTGTTATTTGGAAACTTTTACAAAGACTTTGAAGGTATATTTAAATAGGTATTTATAAAAGGTATTTCAAAATTGTTTGTGATTTTGGCTTTAAAAAAAAAAAAATTACTACTACATAAAACTACTGTATGTTGTGTCTTGTTTTTTGGGGGATTTAAGAAATGCCACCTTATCGACCGGCTGTCCTGTAAAGGTTTTATCTTCATCACGTTCAGCATTTCAGAATCAGAATCAGAATCAGGGTTTATTGCCAAAGTACATTTACACATACAAGGAATTTGACTTGGTGTATTGGTGCTAAACAATTAACAAGGAAATAAAGCAGAACTAGAAACAACTTAAATAATACAGTATAAGAAGATATTACATATTAAGTTCATTGTATTTGCATTTAATTTGTAATTCATTTTGTGTGTGCGCCCTCCATAGGCAGAGTGGCGCATCTATAAGTGGGAGTGCAGAGCGCACCTTGGAGGAAGACGGGTCACGGCGCATACCGTCATTGACCGCAGGCTCAGCAGTCGAGTTTAATTATAGGAATTACATTTAGGTCATTGGAGACACTACACATACTTTTTGGTTTACTTTGATTTGCAATAAAACTATCAGCAACTTTAAGAATCAACTCTCACTGGATTTATTTTCGGATCAAGTCTGCGCGTTTGATGAACTGTTTCCGTTTCTTCCAAAGTGTTAAAAACAAGAAAATATTGGAGAGGTTACAGGACAAACCTGATTTTTGAGTTTTTGCTACTTCAGCGCTCAAAAGACTTCATCACCACAGAGGTCAGGGCGACAGGTCTTTGCGTTGTAATGCATCACAGAAAGCAACAAGCTACAATATAAAAAGCTAAAATCCGCAATTAAACAATGAAATCAAATTTTTCTGATATTCTAGCTCAGATTTCAGCAGTTGGACAATTCTTTAGGTGTGTGTGCGTACCTTTGCTTGTCTCTTAGTGTACCCCAGACCCACTGTGTGTGGACTGATGACCCCCTTTGGAGGTAGGTATGTCTGTGTGGCCTCTGAGACTTGTGGGGAGTCTGTCTGCCACCCAACCTCATCATGGAACCTTGGTACACTCGTTGGGATACTGGAGCTTGTTGTCTGTGTAATCTGCTGTGATGTACTCTGAAAAAAAGAGACAGAAAAATAGCAAATTTAGCTTTACAATCTAACATGATTCAGAAATGCACACATCTTTATGTTTCTCGTGTTATTGTATTTATAAATATATTATTTATGGGTTAACCTGCTCTTCTGCAGTCTGTGCTATGATTAAACAACACCACCTGAGCACTGGTCGAGCTCTTTAAATAAATTATCAATACTTGGCTTACGACATCGATAAAAAATCACCACGTAACAAAGTAGTTTTACGCAGGTGGGTAAGAGCCGGTAAGTTAGCAGAGTTTAACAAAGCTCAGAGGCTGTAACAGATGCCCCTAACCATGGGTATATAGGATTTATGACAAGTCCGACCTGCCTGATAGTGAGGCTGGTGTGGTGGCTCTCCTTCATGTTGATATACTCCTGAACGACCTGTTCTTCATGTTCAATGTCTCACCTACAAACAGAAAAAAAAATGTACACTTTAAGTTTTAAACGATAAGATTCTCAGTATAATTACTCAATGAGGCATTAGTCAAAATGAAATTAAAATGTAACTTATTCTGATCATTTGTATTTTCTCAGCAAGGTAATAAGGTAAGAGGGTGTAAAACTCAAAAATTATGAAAAGGGAAACTACAGCAACATACAGAAACACTTTTTGTGCAGCCTTAAATGCCATAAATCTATGTGCACCTCATTTTCATAGCAACAGTTTTGAATTGCACTCTGTCAGTTTGAGATTGCCTCTTGGAAAAAGAAAAAGGAAATCTAGGAAAGTGTAATGCAGTTGGTCTTCATGGAGATTTAAGGCATTGTTTGACTTTTTGATTGCTTCTATTGTAAAATGGATGTGAATACCTGAGCGACTGTGGTGTGTTGTTCGTCATCTTGAAGGCCACATGATAACACCATTTCTTTAGCAGAGATACTGCTGGTTTGTTTGGGTCGGTGTAGCAGGCTTCTCGGATGTTTGATGCAGTCACTCTTCCTTCCTTCAGGTCAAACCACGAGGCACATTTTGATTGGAGCCTTTTCTCCCTTTCTATGGTAGAGCACTGGAATCGGATGAGATTAAACAACATGTTTTCTATGTAAATGTTTTAAATAGTGATGAGAACTGTCGAGAACTGTTCTGTTCTGTACTAGACCTATCTTCCTAACTTGTGCCTGGGACATTATTGACATGCATGGCGTAACATTTTCTGACCGATGTATATAAGATGTACCTGTTCGTCTGATACACTCAACCCTCTAAAGACCCCTTCACTCATTGCCTGCAGTTCCTCCTGTGAGAGTGGCCTGTTGTGGGGCTTGTAAATCTTGGTTAGGGATGTAGGAATATTCAGTTGTGCTGCCTGAGGTATGAACATCTGTGCATGGCCAGGTACAACAGACATAATAGAGCTTTTGATTGGTTTCTGTTCAGTCTCTGTTGGTAACATATTGTAGAATGATGTGCATTAATCTGGGGGGAGGTCAACACACCTATCATTACATCTCTTTCTCTGAGCCTTTGTGAAAGATATCTGGCTCCCTTCTGCATACCATACTCTTCTTATGGCTGCCAAACTAGGCTCGTTCCATACACAAGCCTCATCGGTGCATGCAGCGCCATTCAGTTTGTTCACAGCTGCCAACAAAGAGTCGAGTAAAGCACCTATGTGTGAACAGACCAGACTGTCAGCGGTGGTTCATTTAGGCTGTAGGAATGGTTTACCTGACATTAGAAAACGTTTTTGATTAATGTATTTCATTTATTGAAATACTGTCATTCATTTGACTGTCATTCATTTGACTGTCATTCATGCCCGAAAACACTGCCTAAAAGTGACAACTGACACCGATCCTGACCCTACCGTTAGCTAACGATAACTAGTTTAAAAAAGTTTTGCGGATGCAGTAAAAGGATTGCAAGTGCCCAAAACTCTGAGTTTATCTTCATATCTCTGTTTTTCTGCGGCTGTCAGGTGATCTAAATGAGCGTCGTCCTGTAAATATGGAAAATTTACGAGCCTGTGCTGGAGATCCACATAGTTTCCTATGGGAGCCGCCATTACTCCGCTCCTGTTGCCCTCAGGCCTCCGCGCGGGTCACGTGACTGAAAGCTACGAAAAGCGTGCGTGGGTGTGTGTGAGAGAGAAGCCTTCGTCTATGTGTGAGGTAACAGTGTGTGTGTGTGTGTGTGTGTGTGTGTGTGTGTGTGTGTGTGTGTGTGTGAGAGAAGCCTTCGTCTATGTGTGAGGTAACAGTGTGTGTGTGTGTGTGTGTGTGTGTGTGTGTGTGTGTGTGAGAGAGAAGCCTTCGTCTATGTGTGAGGTAACAGTGTGTGTGTGTGTGTGTGTGTGTGTGTGTGTGTGTGTGTGTGTGTGTGTGTGTGTGAGAGAAGCCTTCGTCTATGTGTGAGGTAACAGTGTGTGTGTGTGTGTGTGTGTGTGTGTGTGTGTGTGTGTGTGTGTGTGTGTGTGTGTGTGTGTGTGTGTGTGTGTGTGTGTGAGAGAAGCCTTCGTCTATGTGTGAGGTAACAGAGTGTGTGTGTGTGTGTGTGTGTGTGTGTGTGTGTGTGTGTGTGTGTGTGTGTGTGTGTGTGTGAGAGCATTTCACTTGAAAACGGAAGGCGTTTTGGTAGAACCGGAAGGCAGCGAAATCAACTTTTTTCTCTTTTTTAGACTATGGCTACAATATGGCATATTTACATGTGTATGTTCATTAATGTGAACTGTCTCTATTTATTTTTTAAATAATCAAATAAAAAAAAAAGCTAGAAAACTAAGCAACATTATTCAGCTTTTCTGAATAAATAAATAATAATAAAATAAACCATTTCAATAATAATGGGTCAAAACTGTGGGCAAAGTAAGACAAAACAAGGCTTGTCACAGTATCATAATTTCAAACATTGGTATGATACTAGTAAAACTCAAACAATATCAATACCCATTTAATACTATCACTTGAGCAGTAAGTAAGTAAACTCCTGCACACTGTCTTGGAACTGAAAAATCTGACTGAAGTGCTGACGTTTTTAAAGCTCCTGTACCTTTTGATCCTTTTAATCAACATAGATTGTATTATTTCAAAACATGTGGAATCAACAAGTATTAAAGTATTGAAAATCTTAAACAAAACAGACTTTATATGTCCACATCAAAAAAATAATTTGTCTGGGTTTCCCAGTGTCCCAGTTCCAGTTTAGAACAATGTTTTTTGTACCTTGAGACAGCAAAAAAGATTTTGTAACAATGCGGTCGGGCCATCTGCACAGCCCCAACCGCGCCGACCACAAGAAGCATGAATCAGCCTATATTTCTGTGTCCATAGGCAAACAGTGAGAGCAACAACACCACCAGTCTGCCCCAGCTCGAACCGGTCCGGGCTCCTCGTCCTCACCGCTGCCAACAGACAGGTCTGCTGCTGCAGCCAAGACAGAAGACCTGACTGTGGGCGGCAGCCGCCTCGTCATTTTTGAAAACTCAACCAATTATCCATAGTTAGGCGTGTAGCTGACCTGATTGACAGGTAGGCGTGATGCAACGATTTGTCAAGAGGCTTAAAACCCGCCTCAGCTCCAGCACTCAGTCTGTCGTTAGGTTGACTGAAAGTTAGGGTGAGACAGGATTTCCAACATGGCGGCTGCTGATGAGCCCCCAGCGCCCCCTGCAGGAACAGACGGGTGACGTCACTCAGGCTTCGTCCAGTAATATTTACAGTCTATGGTGTATATGCTTAATGCTATGCAGGTTGTTAAACAATCCAAATCAGTATGTCAGGCCTTCAGCAAGTTAGTGTTGTTAAGGCTGTACTGATGTGCACAGGCTAGTGGTGCAGCAAATCAAAGCTTGGGAAATTAGTTGAAATGTTATGATAATCCTTTTATCATGTACAATAACAATACAGTATGTTGAGGGTAAAGTTATTGACACTTGCGTTGTCAATATCTATTATTTGTTTAACTTCTTCATAACTGTTTGTCTATTTATATGTTAAAGACTGAGAGCAATGTAAACCACAGTCAATTGCCATATATGTGTACACATACATGGCCAACTAAACATATTCTGATACCCTCCAAAAGATAGCTTTGCTTCCATTCCCCAGGTCAATCACAGATCTCTAGCTAGCTAGCTAGCTTGCAGGTTCACTAATTTCTTTACACGCTGGAACAGAAGTACTGGTTGAAGCAGAAAGGTCATGTGCTGGATGCTGGGTAGTGGTGGGCTTCAAAGAAGATTAACGTTTCTACAGTGGAAGTACTGTGAGTAGTGCGTACCTATAAAATCACCGTATGAGTGAGCGAAGTACTTAATTTTTTTAATTTGGTTTATTTATTTTTTAATTGTTTTATAAAACGTAGTAAACATTTATTTTAAAGATACAAAATGACTCTCCTCCAGAGTAAACTGTTACAAATGACATTTGTTCTTGTTCTAGCCCCGTCACATTCCATTACAAGCTGAAATGAGATGGTAAACGTGAGAGATTTCTGCCAGTCATTGTTCTGATTTATGGCTCATAATATTGTTTCACAATGATAAAGTATGGGCATATTATACATTTCCTGAATCCTTAGAGGCTTGTAAGTATTCCAGTGTATGTGTTTTGTGTCCCTGATGTTCCTAGATGTCACAGGGCTAAATGAGAAAGTATATTTAGGCGGAAATTGGGGGAAAATGTGTGTTTTTTTACCATTTCAAGAGCCACAGTTACCTCAATGTATGACACAAAGATTCACAATTGGTCTTGAATGAAAGCAGAAAATGTCCCCTTTAAAATGATACCAAACACAATAGTATTAAACATTGACAAATGTCCTGAACATGGGCCTAAACCAGGATATGCACCAGTGTCTAAAATGCATGTAAATTGGGGGGGGGTCTCTTCATGAGCGGATTACTGTGACTCAGCTGCCACTCAGGAAGGTCTATCATATCAAAATATAATCTACAGACATGGACATTTTCAAAAATCATCACTAACTTTTGCCACCTTGAGTGGTACCGACAAGTGAAATTTTGGGCTCTGGCCCATGGACTATTACTCTCCCTAAAGCCCCCTAAAGCCCAATTAACGTGACTCCGTTAAAGTAACAGGGACGTAAGAGCTCGTGCCATCCATGTAAATGTGCCGTTTCACTCGAGCACAGTCCCCAGAGGGAAATCCAATGCAAAGAAAAAGTAACGCTGGGAGGCAAAATACCTTTAAATCCGCGAGAAATCTGCGCGCAGCTCCGGTCTGTGCTTCCAAAAACCCAACGAAACTACACCCACCACCAACACGGAGGGTGTCCTTGAGTGCAAATAACCTTCTCACTTATTCAAGCATCCGTGTGGGTCTCTGCACGGCTGGTCTGTTTACAAAAAAACATGCAGTTATTCCTCCAGGTGATTCTTTTTTTTTTACCAGATAAGACAATTTCCATCCAAACGTACTCCGGTTATGTGCGCAGTTTCCTCCCGTCAGCAAGAAGGGCTGGAAGCTGAAATCCCGGTCCGGTAGCAGGGGTCCGGGCGGTGTCCAGCTCCGATCACCAACAAATCACACCACAGACAACCCTACTGTAATAATCCAGCGAGGAGCTCCGGAATCATTTTTCTTGGAGAAATGCAGTTTGGAGTTTAACCAACAAATTCTGAGGCGCTGACTGAAAGCTCGTCTTTCAACCAGTCAGCATCTCCGTTATCATCTCCGAGCGGGGGCGGGCAGACCTGCAGCAGGCTGAGCACCAAAGTCGCCTATTTTTAGAGGGAAGACAAAATCTCCCCACGGTTGGAGACTGTGGTAATCCTCCGTCCAGGCACGTCACAGTGTCGGTCAAATTCCCTCTCCGATGTCCGTTTAATTCCTCTTCCTCCTCCTCCTCCTCCTCCTCCTCCTCCGCAGCCCTCTCGATCTGCTCTCTCGATGGAAGCCCCTGAATAACCGGGGAAGTTTTTTAATTCCAGCTGCAGATTAAAAAAAGACACACCCATACAGTCTGTATGGCTGTACAGACAGACAGACAGATAGACAGACAGATAGACAGACAGACAGACGTAGGCCTACTCGCTGTTGACATTATCTAAGTAACATTTCAGGGCGGCTGTGGCTCAGTTGGTAGAGTTGTCGAGGGTTCGATCCCCAGCTTCTGCAGCAACATGCCCGATGTTTATTGTTTATTTCGATCCCCATTTGCCTCTACCTAAGTAGCGACTACTCTTCCTGAGGTCCACTCATACAAACATGAATTTAAAATCCACACAAATTAAATTATATATATAAAAAAAAGAAAAGACGGAACAGAAAAAGTAGAAAAAATAGAAATAAATGACAGCACAATACCAGGCAAAGTACAAATCAAGAACACCAAGATGAACCTGTTGCATGTCAAAAAGGTAATCTCTGTGTCTCTGTGTCCTTGGGGAGACACTTAACCTTGAATTGCTCCAGCTGCGTAGGTGTGTAGGTGTGACCTGCGGTGTAAAAGTGCTTTGAGTATTCAGAAGACTAGATGCTCAAGTCCATTTACCATTTACTCCCATGCACGATGTGTTACAGACTACAACAGTTCAACTTAGCATTAATGCTAATTACATGCTAGCTAAATATGCCTAATATTAACAAATAATAGGCGGTACACAGACTTTTTTTGGCATTGACATCACAGATACATTGGACGAATCAGATGCATTGTTTAAGTGTTTAAGCAAGCATGCTAGTTCTCAACACCTGTCCACAGAGGTGCAACATCCCCAGCTACGACAACAGCGTAAGTGACTGTCAGCGGATACATTACACCAAAAGACGAGAGCGCATTAAACCACCAAATGTCTCATTGTTTACAAGGGGAAACTGAAGTCCACAGAGCAAAGAATGAAATACTTACTGTTACTAATGCAGTGTGGACAGCGAGCATGTAAGCATGCAAAAGTGCGCTCAGCGATATGACACCTGCTTCTAGGACACGGTGTAATGTCGCATCAAACTCGCACATTATAGAAATAATAGTTTGATATTTGTTAACTTCTAAGAAAGTGACAACAGCCCTCTTAGCACACGGTGTTCTGATGATAGCAGAGTAAAGACGACGAGCCGTGTGTCCAGATAGGCTCATAACTAAATAACGAGACTGTGAGTGGAGATTTACTCACTCAGTTCTGTGGAAGGAGAAGACTTCTGTGAGGTGATGATGTTTGTCAAGCCGGAGTAGAAGCCACCGTCAACAGCTATGATAGTGGAAAAGATGTTTGAGGAAAGTGAAGATGAATTGTGCAGAACAGCTAAGTGTCTGAGACTCGTGGACAGCTCTGTCCAAGACGTCAGATGTTACCAAAAGTCATTCCATTCAGAACTGGGACTTGAAGACCGCTGTTCTATGCAGACACACAGTACTGATGAGACACACACCGCAGGAAAAAAGTGTTTTGGAATTTATGTCGAGGCAAGAAAATGATTTTATTGACTGAAGAGAAAAATAACCACAGTGTGAATATCTTTAACGTGGAGTTTGACCTCTCCGGGTTGATTTGACCCCTCTGTAAGGTTCTCAAAATGTTTGATACTTCAAAACTTTTTGATACCATGTGTTTGAAACCAATTCGATCCCCTTAATCTAATGATCGGTGGTATAGATAGCACCAAAGATATAATATACAAAACTGATTTTCAGTCATATGTTGAATCCAAAGCTGCAGTGAGAGAAAGAGACAGAGAGAAAGAGGTTACACCGTCTAAATCGCAAAATAGATTGGGATCATTTTGGTAATGTTGCCAATGTATTCATGCAGTTTGTTTTGGTTTCCTGCTGGTGCTCAGGGGCGACATCTACTGGATCAAAAAGTCTCATATTCTTCCTTTAACAACAAGATTGGAATAACTGTGTGAAAAATAAATCTAGTCAAAAATCACAAAGTGTCCTACAGAAACAATGCCAGGCACACAGGGGGACTTACTTAATAATATTCCCTCCCCTTGATATATTATGAATAAACACATATTTGAGAAGAATTAATGTTATTAATGTTAAGAATCTGGAGCTTCTCAAACAAAACAAAAAGCAGAAGACGCATGAGACTCTGCTCATCTTGTAATCCTGACAAACTGAATTAAATGGAGAATCAAAGTCAATAATATCTTCACACATGTCTCTGTGGCTTTGTTCCACTTTAGCTCTCCACGCTCTCTCTTCCTCTGAGTACACTGCGAGCAACCAAAGTCCACTCAAAAGTGACAGGTCAATCCTGCACGGTCTAAAATAAGACAAGAAAGTGTCACTTTTCTAATGGAATTATACACAAAATGTTCTCTCTATCCTGCACCTGCTGTCATCTGAAGGGACTGGGTCAAACATTTCCAGTAAAATAAAGAACAAGAAACATCAAAAAGTTCCTGGTCTGGTGTATCTGTAACATCTCATTGTGTTTAAAACTGTATCTGTAAGTCTGTTTAAGATGAGAAGAGACTGCAGGAGACGGAGCCTGACGTTCTGAAAAGTGAAGCCGAGCAGAAGGGCATGTATTAGATTTCCTCATGTTTGATATTAAACACCATGTGTTCTAAGGATATCATGTAACCCAATCAGTGCTCTCATAAATACATCAGAGTTTCACGTCCTCTGCTAATGCACAGTGTGTGAGGTTCAGATGATGCTGCAGGGTGCATTGTAGCATAGTGCTGTTGATAAACAGAGGGAGAACTTCACATTGAGAATATTAATGCTAACCAACAACGAACTTACATGAAGTGAACGTCATGGGATCTTTTATCAACAGCAATCCGATTTAAAAACTCTTACAAAACTGTATCGTCTCCAGTGTGCTACCATACAGCATGATAGATAAAATAACAAAGGTAAGATGATGTAAAAACATATAGTTGCAAAACCCTCACAGTCTTACAGAACATTACTCAGAATTTTTGGTTGACGTGGAAACAAAAGAGTTTTTAAAGGGGACATATGATGAAAAATCCACTTGTACAGTGTTTTTTTTAACATATATCTGGGTAACCTGAGAGTCTACTGACCCACAAAATGTGAAATAAACCCATCCAGTCCTTTGTTTGTGGTCTGCATAAGTCTTACAACACAGAGATAAATGCTCCGTTTCAAATGTGCTCTCCTTGTGATGTCACAGTGGGACAAACGCTGTACACTGTACAAACGCTGAACTATAATAATTTCACTGCAGCAGCTGATGTCTCTGATAAAAACGAACAAAAATGACCCGCTGTGGAGTCTGGTTTAAATAAAAAGCCCTTTATAATCTTCAGGGCATAATGGCTAAGAATTGAAATCCAGCGGTCTGCCGTTCATGGAGAGATAATGAGAGAGGGCGGGAGTTGTTTCATCTTTCAGTCAGTCGAAGAAGAATCAACTCGACTGAAGATTCCCATCAGATGATGTACTTTAGTGTTCAGTAAATCATTTTAAAGAGATACTCTGCCTGCCCAACATAGTAAGTTAGAAAGTAGGGGTTGTGACATGCATGAAATACCAAATCTAAAACGTTTATGCTCAACATGATGCGCTCAAAGCAACGACAACGACTCAGTTGGTTCAAGAATGCTTGAATCTATTAATGTAACAATTCAAAACCACACTCAGAAAAAAAATAACTGGTAAGAAAATGTTATTTACTCAACAAGGCCAAATCCACAAAATCCAAAATCCAGGACGAGCAAACCCAAGGATGACGATGACAATCAGTGTACTTCTAGTGACGAACGATACAACAGAAAACTCAAAGTACTTGTTTTTTTTTTTCAATTCTCTGGTGTTTTTTTGTTTTGGATTTGGAAAATTTCAAAAAAAATCAACCAGAATATACATTTTTAGACATTTCACAAATCCATTATCACCCCTTTGGTCATGCCCAAGGATGGAGTCAATGACAATCTTGGAGAGGGCTGGTCTATAAGACTAATTACAGATGAGACACAGGTGTGTTGGGAAAAAAGGCAGGAAACGGAATAATGTGCAGGAAGTCAGACTAGATATTATACACAAGCAGCAGAAAAACTAAAACAAGAAGTAAACAACAACACACAAGAAAAGAAACTGTTACTCTAACAGAAAACACCAATTAAGGCATCTGTAGTCATAATAACATTAGTCAATTTTTCGATAGAGAAATCACGCGTCAAGCTGAAGAGAGCAGCTCGACCCGGACAGGAAGTCAGACAAGGGAACGCATAGAGCATCTGGTTAATTTAAAAATAAAACACAGTATACATCCTCCCGAACGTATATCCCATCACTTTATCAACATTACATCAAAACAGGCACTAAATGAACAACAAATCAACCTGTTCATTGTTGTCTTTCTTCCTCAGTGATCTTGTAGTTCACCTGTGATCTTCCATCTCAAAGACTCCTCACGTCAACTTCCTGTTATGTAAATAAAAAGCATCATGGCCGCATGATGTTTCTTTCAAAACTCTAATACAAAAACTCTGGAAAGGGATTTAGCTCCCTCTGTCTTCCTCTGTCTTCCTGCTCTGGTGATCAACTCATTCTGGGCATTTACTGTTAAAGTAAACTAACCAGAACTAGCCGAGACCCTCCTCTCCAACCCCGTCACTTCCAATCCATCTCAACATTTCTCCAGGAGTCTACTCCTCACCGACCTCCACCACCAACACTGCCAGACTCCATCAGGTTCATCCCATCCTGCTGTCGGCCTCACTATAACCCTTCAAGTTCATGAGGAGATCAGAGTGGAGTCTACTCGCCACAGATATTGCACATTTCACTTTTTCTAAACTTGTAAAAGAAACAAGACTCTCTTGATTATGATATAGCTGGCTTGCAAGAGAGGCTATTTGAAATCCATCCATCCATTACATTATGCTGATCCAGGACCAGGTCTTGGTGGC